GCCTTCCAAGACGCGCCCATTTTTTACTCCTTTGTGACCTAAGGTGACACGCGGCGAGCACTTTTGACTTCGACGCGATATAAAGACGGCTTGCTTAACATGTGCTCGCTTCGTAGCATGCATGAAACCGCCTCAGTGCAACCAAGAAGCTATTATTCAGGGGCCCGCACGAGAAGCCGCAACGTTTGACGCTAGTTGTCGCTTATTCTCCGGGAGGAGCCACATCTGACTCCCGTTGGTTTTTAAAATGCAAATGAGATGATGTAGGTGGAAAATGACCACTTCTTCATTAGGTGCAACTCAACTAGACTCTTGTTTTTACTAATCACTTTTGGTGTAGCATACGCAGCCGTGCAATTGTCTGGTTTCAGCCTGGCAGAGCCAACGTGGATGGTGTCTAATTATAGAGTCGCACCTTTCAGAGCAGTCGTCGTCATTTGTAATCACACCATGCTAACATTGTCACGTATGCCAGAGACGGTCTCGTGATGAGATTATCATACTTGGATGACTAATTATTTGGTATGAGGCCCGTCAAGACAAATCTTGTTTTCTTTACCGCTAGCATGGAATGATTGCTCGCGGGCGTCCGTGGCTTTGTTCATTCAGCATCATTTTTAAACGAACCAAATGCGCAACAAAGAACCCGAAAAACATTTCTTGTCCAAATGATAGTACAGTACTGTCAACTTATTTGAAAGTCAGTCCCAAGTACGCCAGTGAATGTGCGGAAAAATATTTCTTGTCCAAATGATAGTACTGTCAAAAAGTCAGTCCAAGTACGCCAGTGAATGTGCACATAGAAGTGAGGTTATTTTTGTTTGCCTCGTCAGCAAAAAAAAAGGAAGAACTTCACTTTTTTTTTTTTTTTCTGAGCAAGTTGTCTTGTGTGTAAGCGTCGTACACAAATGCTGTTGCCACGGTGAATATTCGCATAAGGCAGGACCGTGGCCATGTTTTGTTTCAACTTTTTCGATGACCAAAAAAAAAAAAGGCAATATGTTATTTGGACATTTGAAAAGGGCAATTACCGTTATGAATATTTATGATGATCATATCAAATGCAAGGCAGGGAAATGAACTTTATTTTTGCTCAGGTCAAATAGAGTCGCAAGTTTCAATATTGTTTCGTTTTGAAATGTTAAGTGGATAGATTATAAATATTCTTATGCACTTAACGCCACATTTTGTACAGTGCTTGCTTATTTATGGATTGTTTTGAATAAAGGTGCACATATTGTACCCCACGGTTCGTGTGTGAGGTCATCATGCAGTACTTTCCGATGTATTTTGATCTTTCACGTTGTCGTGACAGTTGACGTGTTTCCTAGTGCTGCTGCGTCCTGAATGTTTTATTCCCGGACTTCGAAGCCGTCGCTGTAAAGCTCCATCTCATCCCTCACGGCGCTGGGGAACAGATCCAACAAAGTTTCAGGCTGCTCGACGCCACAATAAAGAATCTCCTCCATCTGTTTCATTCTCTCACATTCCAACTCCCTCAGGCCGTGCGTGATCCGCGTTCCTCGCTCCTATCGAGCAGAAAACAGCATCGCTAAAGTGTTCCGCAGGTTGAGATGTGACCACACGTGGGCTTGTTTCACCTTGTGTGTCTCAATGATGGCGACCGCCACCTCGTGCTTGGCGAATAAGCTGTGCTTTCTGTCCGGCTTGCTCTGGAAGCGAGGCTTCTTCTTTACTGGGTCCTCTGGGCCATAAGTGGGGGAAGCGGTCTCCTTTAGCTGCACCCTCATGTTTTCAACAAAGACAAAGGGTTTGAAGACTGATCTGTTGTATGACAGAGAAGGCTCTGTTACTTTTTGAGTTTAAAGTGTGGGAGAAACAGCTGAGCTAGGCTCCAGCTCACCCTACTGAGGAAATGGGTTCGAGAAAATGGATGCCGCACCTTTCAGGGTCCGGTGTGGCGGTAAAATAGTGAACCCCCGGCAGAGCTGGATCAACAAGTACCACCGACACCATGCTGCCGGTTGTCATGAACATGCCCTCCATGTTGACGCCACTGTCTTTGTCCCTCAGAATGTCCATCATCGTCTGGGCGGTGATGTGCCCTTTAATAACGGATTTGAAAAAATACACTTCTCATTCAAAGTTGGAGATAAGAGGCTTTCGGCAGATATTTCAGGACTAACCTAAAATGCATTAGAACGTTTCCATATGAACTTTTGAATGTCCAACCGTTGAATGGTCTTGTACTTTTTGCACAACTTGCCGGACAGGAACTTACCATGACTCTTTTGCAACAGTTTCTTCCCTTCACAGTATCGACTGCCGGACGCTTCGATTCTGGACGTGTTCTTGTAGGAATAGACGGCGGCAAAGTTGAATTGAGACTTTCCGTTCCACCAGTTTTTACGTTGTGCATATTTGCGCAGGTCCGGATGTTCTCTGTCAATCTTGGTCGTGATGTTGTACTCGTTTGAAATGTTGCGATATCCACCTAAGAAGGGGCAGGGAGGACATAATAAAAAACAAAAACTGCATACAGTATTTCACATAGCCTATCTAATAGTACAAATAGTACTTAAGTTGTTTCCCATTACCTTCGATTCTCTCAGCAGCCCAGTACTTGCCGGAGGTCTCCATCACCCAGGCCTCCTTCCGGTCTGACATCAGGAAGCTGTTGTTGTAAGTGAAGTCACATTGTTCTTCTAAGCAAGCTCCTCCTTGGCCATATTTCTCCAGAAGCTCGGCTAAGACGTCTACACATTTCTCAGCAGTGTCGGCTCTCTCCAATGCAAGCCTGGAAAACAAGTGTTGTGTTTTTCTGACAGGTATGACTGATGCAATGCATTCTGGCATGATGATGTTCTATTACGACAGTGCAATGGTCTATTGCCTGACGAGATCCATGCCAAGGAGCGCCTCCTTGCCATCGGGACTCTCTCTTCCCCACACAGCCTCATTCCCAAGACAAACTTGGTGTTCATTTGCGCCCATTTCTGCGCCCCACAGCCAGGCCGGTCTGCTCAAAACAATTGCATATGTGTGGGCAACTTGCTCTATCTGGATGTAAGTACACTACTCACAAGGGAAAGAGAGACAGAAAAAAAAACATGGTTGTCACGAAAAGGTCACAAAGTAGGAATGCTGAGACTGGAGCGTGTGAACCCACCTCGACCTTTGCCCCAGGCTCGTAGTCTGCAGCAGGGAAATAAAGCACTTCCTGGACTTCATCACAAGGCCTGTCGGAATTCTTTCCAAAAATGATGCGTTGTCCTTCGGTGGAAGGCGGCAGAGCCACAAAGGTGTCACAAGAACAGGGATGCATGCTGAATCATAATCGAACGAAACTCAATTGCTTTGAAAAGGACGACACATATGACCTGACAACATTGAATACAAAAATGAGAAAACACCGTTTAAGAGCAAACATAAGACAAACGAGAACGATTTGACGGTGTGTCAGTGTTGACAAATCTCGGCGCCTTATTTGATTACGAGAGTCACGTGGCGATACTCTGATTGGCTACTTATTACACAGGTTGATACACTTGTTATGACTGCTTCGTTGTTATGTTTTCATCTTAAAATACATTACGCCTCTATTTATAACATATACTGCTAACGATTTTGATATACTGTATTATTTTACTCCGGCATCGTAAAGCGTTCTGAAATTTACGACATTTTTTTTTCAGTTTAACATAGCCGATGGTGGTGCGTTCCATGTACCTCGGATTTTTTAAAGTTGAAAGTCGACTAATAATACCACTCACTAATGTTAACAATTAGTTATAATATTAGATTTATTTGGTGAATCAAGGGACGCAAGGACATGTAACAATAACTTGGAATGTACTTAAATGTATGTTCTTGCCACTAAATATATCCTTTGGTGCGTGCGTACTTTTCATTGTTCCAAAAACGCCATGAGAACTGCCGTTTATTTGTTAGTCATTCAATTTCACTGCCTACAAACGGCAACTAACCGCTACATGACGAGTCAATTGTGCAGCTACTGGTTTCGAAATTGCAAAATTTCTCACTGCGTTTTCAAATCAAAGAAAACACGAGTTGCTATTGTTACAGGCAAATTCTGTAATGACATATGTTCATATGAAAATGTCGCTCACTGACGCCACACCACACACACATCATGTGGGCTATTCAATGACACATCGAATGTAAAGAAATGTATCCGAAAAATCTGCATCAAATTCAATTTACTATTGAGCAATGAAATAAAATTAATGCGTTCGCCCCCCCCCACACACACACACACAGACACACACTTAACACACGCTCACAAGAGACGACACATTCTCCAACAAACTTTGAACGCATCACGACTTCCGCTTTCCTTCAATTTACTTCCGAAGCGACTCAAGCTATCAAGCGTTAGCTGAAATTTCATCGCAACCCGCGGACAGTTTTCATGACCAGCCATGGGGAAGTCATTTGCCAACTTCATGTGTAAAAAGGATTTTCACCCTGCGTCCAAGTCTAATATCAAAAAGGTAAGTCAAAGTTAGTGTTTCGAAATGAAGCATCGCCGTAATTCGTTTGCTAGTAAACAAATGTAGCTTCCTTCGCCGACGCTTGTGTTGCAGCCTGTTGGGCAGTTAAACAATTGAAATGGATTCATTGAAAGTCAAGTTCACTGTATTATATGAAGATTTTCACCTTTCTTGAATCTCAATTTATTCACTTTGCTCGTGCTTACAAGTGTCCAAAAGTGTGATCCTCCCTTTCCTTGTGCAGGTATGGATAGCAGAGCAGAAACTCACTTTCGAAAAGAGAAAGCAGGAAGACCTGATGCAGGCCTATCTGAAGGAGCAAGACACCTACAACAACAGGTAACTCCGAATACAGTCATGCTAACGTCCTCACAAAATGAATTACTAATCCTCGGTGTGACATCCGGGCCCGTTTAGTTTAACACAACGCAGACACACTTGCAGAACCCAGAGAAAGACCACAGAGATCTTAAATGTTAATTTTCTGACCAATGAAGTCAAATTGGACACTTTTCCAAGCATACGGTGGTCGGTAATAAATATGATCATGGTTTGAATATTAATTTTAAAAGGAACTCTTTTGTGACTATTTGATGTTCATTTTGTCTTTCTCTCCTTTAGGGTGTTGATGGGGGATGATCGGGTTAAAAATGGCCTCAATTTCATGTATGAGGCTCCACCGGGAGCATCTAAAGGTACGTACGAAGCACAACTCTATTTGTATACTCAAGAAAAACATAAATATCTTTGCCAAGATATTGCATTCACCTCAGAGGTGTGGCATATCAAGTTGCTGATTGTCATAAAAAGCCACTCAATTTGCAGTTTTATTGTTTATGCCACACCCGTGAAGTGGACGGATTGTTTCGACAAAGGAGAAACGCTCGCTAACGCAGAGACAAATTTGTTAATAGTACACGAGAGAAATCGGCCTTTTGTGTACATATAATTCGTGCCACATCTTTGAAATGGGCACAAAAACAAAACTTGTCTTTTTATTTTATGTTTTTATGTATGGTCGTTTTTATTTTTGTTCAGTCCTAATACTTGTTTTGCTCTTCCCCCAATTCCTGTCCCTGCTGCAGAGGAGAAAGCAGAGGTAAAGTTATTTCATTTATCATTTACATGCCAATTTCGCCCATTTGTATCCCTTTTGTTTCTTAAAGGAGGGAGAAGAAGAGTACAAGTTTGAATGGCAGAAGGGAGCCCCCAGAGAAAAGTAAAAAACGTTGTTTTTTTGGGTTTTTTTCCCCACTTTTGTTTCTTAAAGGAGGGAGAAGAAGAGTACAAATTTGAATGGCAGAAGGGAGCCCCCAGAGAAAAGTATAACACGTTTTGTTTTTTGTTTTTCCCCCCCCCCAAAAGTTTACGAGATGCCTCATGGTGATTGAACCGGAATTTTCATTATTTTTGCAGGTATGCTAAAGATGACATGAACATCAGAGATCAGCCTTTTGGAATCCAGGTGATTTGTCATGCTTACCAACAAAAAGTTTGACACATTTGATGTTTCAACTTTCTTATTGAACAACATTGAACTTTTCAATCTGCCTCTGAAGAAATGTGACGCGGTCTCAAGTTGTCCAGTTTCTTCATTTGTGTTCGATACGCTGTTCTGGAAGTCGAATGAATCGAATGCCAGGGCGACCTGTGTTGACTTTCCAGGTGCGCAACGTGCGCTGCATCAAATGCCACAAGTGGGGCCACGTGAACACGGACCGAGAATGCCCTCTGTTTGGACTGTCAGGCATCAACGCCAGCGCCATGGCGTCGGAGTAGGCAGCAGGTACGCTTGGACAGCGCCCGTGTT